GCTCTTGCAGGAGTTGATCACTCTGTGGAAGCATGCTGCTGCAGATCTCTCTCTCTCTCTCTCTCTCTCTCTCTCTCTCTCTCTCTCTCTCTTTCTCTCTTTCTCTCCCTCTCTCTCTCTCCCTCCCTCCCTCTCGTGCTGTGTGCGTGTATCCTCTGTGCACTGATTGATCCTCGCGGTGGGTCGGCTCGTGTGCTCAGCTCTTCCTGAAGGAGGGGTGAGAGCAAATTGGCCGCCCACGTGTGAATGACCACTCCCATTTTCTGAACCAGGCAGGTTAAACATTAGAACAGGAACTCATTGTTTCACAAAGTTGAGTTAACACTGCCAAAGCAAGGGTGAGAATAAGAAAAAGTGTAGATAAATATATTCTTATATGACATAATAATGCGATCACAGCTTTGCAGCAATGCAATACTGCAATAAAATATATCAATAATAGTAATGAAAGTTTAACTTTACTCTCTTTTGCTCTGACTCACATAATCTTTCACACGTTTAACTGTCTGTTTGGTGAAAAGTTCTCTAAAGAAACAGTTCACAAAAAAAGAAAGAAAGTGAGGCGGCAGCTACTAGCCTACGTCTTTTCTATGCATATAAACTGGTTGTAAATCAGGAGGAAAAACATGGTGATGCTACAGGCACAACATTTGCAATGTACATTACAAAGCATTGCAATTGACACATTTTATTGTATTATTTTTACCTTAAACAACCTTAAACATCTCCACAAAATTGAACACTGAACAGGCCAACTAGACCGGTCTTCACCTGCAAAACGTTAATTAAGGGACGACTCATAACAACAAAGAAGGGAGGGAAAATGCTCAAAAAGAAACATAAAAGGACAACAAGAGCAAGCAATCCAACTGCAAAGAGAGACAAATAGAACATAAAGATAATCCCTCAATTCATCTACAGCAGTAAAATGCAACACACACATTAACAGCATTAATATTAATTAATCATATATAATATTTAAACAGGGAACATTTGAATGCACAATGAGTCCTTTTCATCAGTTCATTTTAGTAATAACACACATTTTTTGATGATGAAGGATCTGCATATTTCACTCTGCTTTCCGCGCATGCGCACTGAAGAACCCGGAAGTGGAGTCCAAAACGGATCAGCTCTGACGGTTTTGAGGGTTTTCTCAGATAAAAAGATGCAGCTAAACTTCACTAAAGATGTTTTATCGGACTCTGTCAGCACCGACTTTCAGAACCTGAACAAACTAAACGAGCAGGTAAATACACCTCGATGTTTACAACCGGAGACAACAAACAGCGCAAGTTTAGTCAATGTTAGCTGATAACTGAGCTGTATTTCTGAGCTGTACTCATGTTTTAGGGTTGAGTCTGTTTCGAACATATGTGTGAATATAGATTTAATATATATTGATGATTTAAAGTTGAATTGCATTGTTTATTGGAAAGGTTTGCGTTATCTACACCAGCTGACAGCTCACATGCATCATGTGACAGCAGACTGTGAACGGTGGAAGAAATATGTTACTTAATACAATTACTAATATGACAGTGTAGATTTATTGTACTGCACATACAATTCCTGCATGCAAATCTTACTTAATAAAAGTAAAAATACCAACATTTAAATACCAATTATGCACAATGTAAATATGTAAATGCTCTTAACAACATTGGACCTTTTGCATACCTTTCTACACCTCCCCCCAATCAGCCATTAACTTTCACTAAAGCTAATGAAAAGAATAGAGACCAAAACTGATACTAAACTTTAGGAGATTTAAAATGTTATTGCAGTTTCAACAAGACCCATTTATGCCATTGATATTATGATAATATAATAGCATAATAATTAAAGTACCATATCAATGAATAAATGGCTGTTGGCTGTTGTTTCTATAAAATGTTTATTTAAAAAAATTCACAAACAGCTTCAATAGATGCATATCAATTAAAAGTTCTAAATGTAGATACAAAGTCTGTAATAGACTAAACATCCTGTGAATTGTTGATAAAACTCTGTGTTTCTTGATATAAAGAGGCGGTGAAAACATGGTGAGGTTTTCTTTTTAGAAATGGATAAAGACTTTCATGTTTCTTTCTATGCAGCAATTTCTTCGTCTGATTGAAATTCTGTTCCAGTTCCTGCTAGAGCCTAAAGAGGTGAGCTTGAACACACACACACACACACACACACACACACACACACACACACACACACACACACACACACACACACACACACACACACACACACACACACACTCTCACACACATACTCTCACACACACATACTCTCACACACTCTCTCTCTCAAACACACACACACACACACACACACACACACAGCCAGACAAACATAATAAATCCAGTTATCCACAGGTGTTACTCTGCGATAATGTGGTGGGAATTCTGTTGTCGATGTCCCTCTGCTGGGCTTATCTACTCCAGTTAGTGATTTCCTACATTACCCAGAATACATTGTGATATTCACCAGAAAACCTCTTCGGTTTAAGAGCGTTGAAAAGTTGAACAGCATTTAAAATTAGTGAGGTGTATACATTTAGATGACTTTGTCCTTAAACACATAGTTATTAAAAAATAGAATCGAATATTGCAACATTTTGTGGAATACATTTATTTGCTTTTTATACACTGAGTTGGATCAGAAAGTCGATTCCACTCTCTACTTGGGGACTTCAAATCTTAAGATAACTTAACGTCTTCTTATCCAACAGCAAGGGAACACATGCTGCATAATCTTTTAGGCATTATGGTTGATCCTGAAAATTGTGTGTCTTCTTAAATAATGTTTTTAAGTAAATCTTTAAAAATATCTCTCACTGAGGATCCCATACAACTTTTTAAGTTGATCTTTTACATAGCTTGGACTTATTTTGCTCACAAACTTGAGTGTAACCAGTACATTATTACATAATGTCACCCTGTATTTTAATAATGTATAAGTTTCCCTTTCCTTTTAGCAGTTCAAACTAAGTGATGTATCATGCAACCCTAATGCTACCTATTGTATCTCTTTTTTAGGATGATACAGTCATGAATGCACCCGTTTAGAAATGTCCCACGACTCTCAACTTGATACTAATTAAGTTTAAACTCTGAAGTGACAGAAGAGCTGCAGCTTCACAAAGTTTTCCATCTCAGTGATTCTGTTTTCTCCTCAGGCGCCATGAAGAAAAGCCTGACAGCCGAGCAGATCAGAGAGGACCTTGTGTCATTAGGTATACACACAAATCTTTTTTCACGGGGTCAATTTATAACTGGGGTTAAGTAAAGCTGCGGGATTGTATCTTCTCATGACAGCATGTTATGTAACGAAGGTGATACCTGATTCCCACAGTGTTTCTAATACATTATTGTGAATATTTTATATGTGAAACCGATACTGTTTATCTGATTCCTCAGGGCTAAACGAGGACAAGGCGGCTCACTTTTCACAACAGGTAACATTCACTACTATTTGAAGACATAAATATGAAGATTCGGGGGTGTTCCAGCACCCTCTGAAAAATCTTAAATTAATAATCTGGGGAAAAGTCCACTTTAGTTTAGCATTATTAAAATGATGATGATCCAGTATAATACATATGAAAGAACAGAGGTTTTCAGGGGGTCTGCAAACAGTTTCATAGACAGTGAATGGAAGTGAACTAATATTACATTAAAGGTTGGGTAGGTACATTTGAGAAACCAGCTCGAGTGCGCTAGAATTTGAAAATACACAACCGAAAAAAATCTGCCACTTCCTTACAGAGCCCCTCCTCCAACACACACAAACGCGCACATGACCAATGAGGGCACGAGATAAGTTTGTGCACAGATGGAAGGCTGACAGGCAGGTAGGCCATCCAGTTATTTTAGCCGGGCCGGCTCAGATGATTGGTCGTGCTTTTTACAGCGCTACGGCTTCCACAGATGACATTTTTTTAATGGATTTTTTGTGAAAGCACTTAAGATATTCATTGCTATCGGGATGTTAAGAGCATTCCATGGAATATAACAAAAAGTATATCTCGAGCCGGTTTCTCAAACTTACCTACCCCACCTTTAATGAATGCATTACTTTAAAATTCACAAAGAACTCTATAAATGTGTGTAATTTAGTCAAAGAGATATATGAGTGTTGGATTAAGAAATATGCTTTTTGGTTTGCCCTCATTAACTTCACTGCTCAAAATGTCTATTCCTTTTATTGTCTGCTTTGTCAAGTAAAACAAATATTTGGGGAAATTTGCTTAATAAAGACCCTGTTCACATCATTTATAAGTATGGTTTATGGATAGTGTGAATGCCTAGCATCATGTTATCGTTATTTAAGTGTCAAAAAAGAGATGGTTAAGAAAAGTAAGTAGTGCAATGTTTTGGTAATACATATTTTCCCATATTTCCAATAGTCAGAAACTAATTAAGGCCTTTCATATTAATGCCTCAGAAAACCAAGAATCCTGCAATTACATTACATTAAAGAAATCTAGGTACAGTATTGAACAAAAACTAAGCAAGGAAACCAAGGGGACCAGTCACATTAATTATGTAGCCTTCTGTGCTTTTTTAGTCACATAAAATGCCTTCGGGTATCATTTAATGAGCACAGGACTTCTGTGTGTTTTGCAGTGGGGGGAGCACTCTGCAGCGCTGTGCAGACTCGCTGTGGGACAGACTCTGATGGTCAACCAGCTGGTGGACATGGAGTGGAAGTTCGGAGGTGAGACAGACATATCAAATTCACCTCTCACCAAAATATACTTTCACTTTAAATCTGTCTCCTCTCAAACTGAAGGTAAATATTCACGATCACAGAGGCTCTCCTCTATTAGCATAGCCTGTAATCTTCTTTGTTCGGGCTCATTTAAACACCCCACGCGTGTGCAGCCGATGGGACTCTATCAGGCCTCATTGTTTATTCATACAACCTGATGACTTCTTAAGACTTGCAGGTAATAGACATGCTAATACGCTGAGCAGAGGAGTCATTAGCTTTGTGCAGAGCTTTTGTTGAGCTGATCTTCATGTTAAAAGACTCCTGACGTGCTCCAGTTTATGGGGCGGGGGGTGGACGGGGTGCGCCTGTACGTGCAGCGCTCCTCTGTAGTTTACTCTGTTGCGCCGTCGTTGAAATGCTAAAAGCTCCAGCCGGGCCAACAGACTCTGTCTCTGCATGTCTGAGACTCACTCGTCTGGGGAACAATATGTCCACCGTTTGTTTCACATGTTGCTATTCAAGTCAACCGTGTTAGAGGATTCATTTGTTTTTCTGCCGTGGACACATTTCAAAATAGAGAATATAACTGGGACCCTCATATGTATGTTCCTAGGAGTATTTTTGACTTATTATTGTAGTATACATGCAGCATTTCAACTGAGATTACCCATAGATAGATTTTAAACTATTTTAATTTTTGTATTTACTTTTGAATATTTACTTGCACTATATTTGTCTGTTTTTCTGTATTATTATGTTGCACTGTTGGAGAAGCCTGTGATCTAAGATTTTCATCGACATAACTACTCTGTAGCTATGTTCGTATGACAAATAAAGAACCTTGAACCTTGAGAACAATGTCGTTTACATCAATCCAATAAACTGTAAGTGACAGTGTACCTAAACAAAATATCAAATCAAGTAAAAAAGCATCATTTGAAACTCACTTCAGAACAGACACACACATATCTAGCGTGCTTGATTCACTCTAAGTGCACACTATAGTATACTACATTATATCTTTGTTTTATTTAACATATTCTTTATGCAGTAAAGCTCAATGAGCCCAGAGTCTTAATCTTAAGAGCGACGTTTTCAAGAAACAAACAACAATACGAACCAAAGTTACAGACAGACAGGACATTCATATGAAACATAACATAGAATGTGTAAGATTAGAAAATAATTTAAGGGAAAAAATGAATATTATTTATTGATTAACACGTTTTTTTAGCATTTGAATTCTTATGAATACATCTGGAAATGTTTCACCCCTATGGGAATCACTGCCATACAATACCGAACATTTATAGTGAAGAAGAAAACAAGTGCAATTTATTTTGAGCTTTTGCACATTTAGTTCTGGTCACTCAACACAGCCATCATCAAAATCCATGGAGGAGGGTGAGTTGTTATATTTAAAACACACTTTCAAACGGCGAGAACGATCAATATGATTATTTGTACCCTCTTTTAAAGTCATATATCAGATTTAATTGTTTATTTTGTATACATCTATGTATCATGATGTGTTTTTTCTGAATCCCACAGTGACTGTCGGCACCAGTGAAGTACAAAAAGTGGGCAACATCTTTCTTCAGGTATAAAAACCCTGTACACAACACACACAACACATAAAACACACACACAGTTCGAGACATGTTTGTTCAGTTTTGTTGAACACAGTTTTTTCCTCTTGCAGTTGAAGCTGGTGGTCAGAAAGGGGAATTCCACTGAAAACGTTTACATGGGTGAGCGACACTTACACAAACAGTTCTGACTTAATCGATTGTATTTTGCATACCACAAAATCTGAGGCCTGATAAGTCAAAACACTTAAAACAATATTTTATTAAGAAATACAGCAAATCCATGGACTGCAAGTCTTTGAGTATATGTGACAGGTTAGTAATTGTATGCTTAGATATCAAGTGATCCCAAAGTTATTCAAATCCAGAAGTAAATCAGACAGGTAGGTTTCTCATGGTACTGAAATGTCAACATGTGCTGATGTGTTGCTTGACAGAGAGACAGAAATGTATTTATAGGCAACACCAATGTACAGTTTGCAGAAGCAGTGGAGGGGAAATGCAGCTCAATCCACTGAGATGGAGATGGAAAAGTTCTACAAATGTATTTTTCTTTACCAATAGCAACATTACGCTACATTCAAATTGAAGAGAAAGGAAAAACTGGCTTGACTGTGAGCGTATGAGAAATGTGGAATTGTTTTTGTGCCTTCAACTGGACAATTCCAAAAAGTAATGCATAATAAATATTCATTATCCCAGAAATCCCCCTCTAGCTAAACTGCCGTTTTTTAAACCCAGTGATCAATGCTTTGATGATCTGTTTGATGACCAATAAAGGTCAGAAAATGAAAAATCACAAACAGGTGTGCGAAGTATTTTCACGATCCTCTGCAGCTGAAAAGTAATACTATTGAAATCCAGTTTTTTAACCAGTCAACTTGTCTTTTAACACACCCCAAGAGTGTTAACACTTACATAAGACATCTGGCATGCTGATATGTTTCATACATGCTACAAATATCCAAAGTGAGGGGTCTTAAGTGTTCTTAACACTGGTAGTCAAACAGCAGGAATATCACAAATGCTAGATTGTTTTCTGACATACCAAAACCTTTCTCGCCTGCAGGAGCTAACTTTGCTCGTAGTTGATGTTTATAACTTGAAGTCTATGATGCGTCACGTTATCAACTAGAGCTGTCAAGTTTCTACTAGTTGTTTTCTTTTTTTTTCACTGAAGATGTCCAAATCATAACACAAGATTTCATTTTGTTATTGTCAATTGGTATCATTTGGACGTCATTCCCAGCTCCAATATCCCACTTCTCAAAACAGATGGATTTCACCATGACTCCTCAGCACTCCTGCGTATTCCCAGGACCTTTTTTCCTCAATTGTGATAACAGACCAATTTTGAACAGCAAACGATTAAAGCTGTCAAGAAACAAAATATAAGATATTTTAAAACTTATCTTTTTTTATTAAGTGTTAAAAGGAGTAGTCAACATGTCATTTTATTTATTCATCTCTGGTGTTACAGAGTAGTACGTCTAGTCTTATCTTCTAACATTTCCCTGTTTTCCGCCCTCATGTCTTCCAGAGTTGACGCTCCCACAGTTTTACAACTTCCTACATGAAATGGAGAGAGCCAAGGCCAGCATGGAGTGTTTCAGCTGAGTGTGTGTGTGTGTGTGTGTGTGTGTGTGTGTGTGTGTGTGTGTGTGTGTGTGTGTGTGTGTGTGTGTGTGTGTGTGTGTGTGTGTGTGTGTGTGTGTGTGTGCGGGTATGTGTGTGTCTCTCCGAGTGTGTGTGTGTNCTTCCGCGATCACCGTCTCCTCTGTTCCTCCAAACCCCGCCCCCTCCCTGAAAATAATGAGTGACTGGCTGATAGTAACCTGATAGAACCTTTATTATTCACTTAATCACTGATTGAGATATGATGAAGCTAACTTAATCTCATACATTCATGGGATGTATGCAACAGTAAGACAGAGAATGTAAGTGTGCACCCACATGCAGTATGTTTTTATAATGCTATGTTGTACTCCTGTTGACTGCTGTGTTCAGACTCAAGTCATGTGTGTGATACCACAGAAGACCGTTGCTAGAAGCTGCAGCTAGACTGCAGACGTATTCGTTTTTTTGTTTTAGAGGATATAACAATTTCACACACAGATACAGGGAAGCTATACCTATACAATTGATTTATTATGGTTTATAATTACATGTCAAGACGAAGAAAAAGATGGCTGAACTGTTCAGTGTCAATCCTGTGGAGATGGAGATGGAGGTTATACATCTCCAAAATCATGTTCAGCTTAAGTCTCAGCAAAACTCAGAACATTTCTGGAGCTTTGTAGACCCAGAAAACTATAAGAACATTCACCAAGCAGCACTGAACATGTCTGCTTTATTTGGCTCTACATACCTTTGTGAAGCAGCTTTTTCTGACATGAATGTCTTGAAATGTAAATACAGAACAAGACTGACTGATGGACATTTAAATGACTCTATTAGAGGGAAACTAAGGTACTCTAGACCTGTATGGTGGACTCCATGCAGTGCCATTCATCTCACTGACTGTGAAAAAGAGCCACTTATTTTACACACAGAAAGAACACAATGGTGCTCTAGGAGGAGATTCAGGTGATAAGGTGGGTGGGGGTTACCTTGGTTGCTGATTGGCTAATGGTTACACGAGCCAAAAAACCTTTATGACATCATAAAGTGGCCAAAATCTGATCAGCTCATTTTCAGACAGCTTTTTATAGAAATGGATCAGGACAAAAAGAGAGGGGTTCTTTTGTCCTGAAACTTTCAGAATCTCTTTACACAGAGGGGACACATGTTTATGTATAAAAGACATGAAAAAGTGGATTTTGCATAATAGGCGACCAACCCTCTATGGCATGACTTTTTATTTTGGGAGGAAAATGTTTCACCATGTGTTTTAGGAGCTTAGGGGTCCCTGATATTATATCAATTATAAAATGTGACCCCCCCACACCCCTCATCCAGGGTTGGTTTGTTGCCTCAGGGCAACAATGTGCTACGAGGGTATTGAAACACCAAGGATTTCTACAATTCCGAAGAAATAGAAAAAACAACTCTATATGAATTCAAAAGGTTTTCTTTGTGTGTGTGTGTATGTGCGTGTGTGTGTGTGTGTGTGTGTGTGTGTGTGTGTGTGTGTGTGTGCAGGGCTGTGAGTGTGGAATGTACCACATCATGTTCTGTGTCTTTGTGTGGCAAAATGACTGAAGCTAAACATAAAAATACAATTGATTTACTGCCTAACATTTGTACTGAAATATTCTTAAAATAAAAAAATGAAAACACACATTTTGAGGTGTTCCTTCAACTTTGAATTATGTGGAAAACTCCTTCTATTGGGTTTCTTTTCTTGCAGTAAGCAGGAGTCCTTTTTTAATTTTTTGAGAAGGAAGTCTGATGTCCATCGATTCTTTCTCCTGGAAGTTGAGCGAGCCCTGTGGGGGAAATGTTTTGCATCTCTATCCAAAAGAAAACCTTTAAAATGAAAAGAGAAACTTAATCCAACCTTACCTTACCCCACCTGTTTGATCAAGTTGAATCCTGCTGTTGTTTATTCTTGTTCTGTTCAAATAAATTAAACTGAATGTTAATTCCATTAAAGATGGAGTGCAGTTAGAAAGAACTGTGATGTAAATAATTATTAATTATGTCATTATCAAAAATAAACAAACATGCTCCCATCCCACCACTGAAATTAAGTGGTGGTGAAAGGCTTGATGGCAAAAACTACCGCACACTGACTTCTGACCTGGAGGCAGATTTCAGAGGATTGGTTGACGTGTGTCTACTTGTTGCCGTTATTCCTCCACACTTCTATCAATTATGATTTATATAAAGTAATTGGCTTAGCAATACTCTCTGCTTATATTGAACAGTACATCTCCTAAACCTCACACCTTTCTATCCTGAGCTTTGATGTGTGCTGCATGTCAGGAAGTGTCATACAAAAGAGCGTTGTGATGCTGATCCAACCATCCTCTCTGTGTGCATTTATCCCACTAGAGCAGTAGTTCCCAACCTGGGGGGCGCGCCAAACGATCGCAGGGGGGGCGCCAGGCCTCAGATGATTTGAGGCCAAATATCATATTTACAATTTTTTTCTTTCTATATTTTCTTTACATATAATTCTAATGCAATACATGATTGTCACCAAAAGCCTTGTCTCTAAATTACAATAAAATATAAAAAATAATTGATTCGTTTGAATAAAAATTCAAGTTAGTAGCTATAGGCATAAAAAGACAGAAATTTATAATTCTTTCTTTAATAGAAATGTTTCTTCTGCCTGTAAAGTGTCCAAACCGGGCTTTTCTGTATAAGCGCATTTTTAAAACATAGTCATTGTCCATGCCGGTTTCAGTTGGATTATTTGTCACAGTTGCTCCGATCAGATCGGTCTCTTCCATTTTGTAGATTATTTACAACTTTTGAATCCACATAAACACATCGGCAAAATCCGGCTTACTTTGAGCATGTGTTTTAAACAGTTTAATCCCTTTGTGAATTGGATCCACTTGCGCCGTCCTTTAATTTCTTCATACAGCGGGAATCCAAATAAATGAATTCTGAGTCCAATAACCATCAAAGTCACTCCAATAGTGCTCCTTAATTACGCTTTCATCCTCCTTTAACAAAATACTTCACATTCATCCAGTTTGTGACAGCAGTTGTAGCATTTTTGAGACTTTTAAACTTTAATTACCGCTGTTGCGCCTGTTGTGATTGGTCAACCGCTTATAGATGTCCCCCAGTGATGTCAACGTAATGATGTCACCATGTTACAGAAGTAAACAAAGGAGTCCAATGGAGATGTTTCATGCAGAGGGGGAGTGTGTGGGAGAGAAAACTCCCTCTGGGGGGAAGTGAAGTTATGTGGAAAAATAAATTGGTTATGCACAGTGTCAGTTTATTAGGAACCATAAAACGCAGCCTTTCAATTAAACGTATCGTCATCGAGTCATAAAGTATTTCGGTTATTGAATCTCCTTTTATAATAATAGAAACACCAGTCTGAACATTGCAAAACAAGTGAAGCCACCAAATCTACCTTAGAGTTAGGTTCTCACTTCTCATAAATCTCACTTATTATGTCCTTTTTAAAACATTATTCATACAAAATGATAGTGGGGAGGGGATACCACATAAAGTGGGTCTCTAACAGTCTGAATAGTCTTTATTAAGAACTCAATGTTTCTGTCAGACCGCCCAAGTCCTCTCTTCATTTCCTCCAACATGCAATAAATCAAAACACGATAGGACTCTTCCTTCTGGCGTACCATTTTAGTGTCAGACTTCACTTCACAAAAGGGTTTCCCCCGAGGTAATCTTGTATTAATCTTCCTGCCATATATACTTTCAGCAGGTGTTTAGTATCCAGACACACTGAACATTTGCCACCATTAACAAGTGCTCCACTAGTTTCAAACTTCACATGTCCAACATAAAAGCTTCATTCATGGCAGTGATGGATTGAGTCTGAACACGTCCTAACAGGGTTTTATCCGCAAGAAAATCCTCAACAACTGCTTTTATCTCATCTAAACCAATTTAATTGTCACACACTACCCAAAAAACATTTGAAATCAACTTCTATTCTGATGCTTTTTTCTTCTATTCTTTAGTAATGTGTGTTTAACAGAGATACAAAGTGTGTGAATCGTTCAGTCTAATCTCATATACCAGACCCATCTACCCAATATGTGTAGTGCACGGTCAAGGACCTCTCATGATTGCGGTGATTAACTATGTTCGATAAATATTTTTCTTTTTTTAAGTTTTACACTCTCTCTCATCCACTTCTTCTAGTAATCAAAAAGCATTTCAGGATAACAGCATAGCTGGTTTTTTGGTGGACACAATTTGGTATTTGCTCTTGCTTAAAAACGTACATACATAAAAAAGTTTAACGATGTTGACCCACTGAAATTAGGCTTGATATGAATAAATCCCTGTTAAACCACCATATTTAATTTAAAGGAGCCGGGTGGGACTGTTCAGAGATATTCAACTCATCCCCCTAGCAGAGATCTGCACTGTACTTAGTGCATCTTTGAAAATGCCTCTTCATTTAACACTCCCCTGCTGTTTTCCCCAAGTAACGCAAAACTATTACTTGCAAGTAAACTATTGGTTAAGCAAATTATTAATATACGTTATAACTTTGGCGTTCCTTGTCAGTAGGTTTGGGTATGAATGATTGATAGGTTACAATGTGACTCCTCTGCAATACAAACATACTGTGTACTGCCCCTATCCAACCACTATCCCACTCTTCGAACATATCTTTATCACTTTCACGTTTGAAAGTTCTCTAACTCCCCTCTCTCAGGGATTACCTCCTGTCAATTAAGTCTTATCTTTAAGTTCACATTTCTTCACTTTCTCCTTGTCTCCTCCTCCTCTTCTCCTTCTCGTCGTGTGACTGGACATGTTACGACTTGTTCTCCTCCACACAAGAAACGTGCAAAGATCTCTTGTGTTTCTCTCAATTATTTTGTATTTCTTATAATTGAATGTATTGTTTAAAAAAACCCAGAAACAATCAAACAGTTGTAATACATTCATTGTATCTGTGACTAAAAGTGACTTGCTGTGTTATGGTTCTGCATTTGTCTTATGACATTTTTCCAGATGTTTTCTCACTTTCTAGGCTAATAAAACAATAAGACCATTAAAATACAAGTTCACACTT